GGCAAATTTAACAGAAAAAGGCATCGTTGTGTGAATTCATCGTTGTGTGAGGCACCCGTTGTGCGAGGCACCACTGTATTTACTTCTTCTGCCAATTATAGAAAATTTCTTGGAGATTGTTCCTCTCTTTTTTTGAGAGAGGATTTTATCTGATTTTGTGTCTAGTTCTTTATCCAAAACAGCATTAAAATCTCCTATCACACAATAGTAGTCATAAACTTTATTTGTTAGTTCTAGTTGCAGTTGTTTAATTATTTTCTTGATTTCCATTTGGTGTGTAAATATTAATGATTAGCATTTTCTTTGATTCTCTTTGGATTTCCACTATTAGTATCCTTCCATTGTCTTAGGCAAATATTTGTTTTGGTTCCAGTTCTTTCTTTATGTACATAGCCACACCTTTCTTTTTTGTACTTATGTCCAAAGCTACAATTTTCCTAGCCTTGAACATTCCAGCAGTTTCTGATCTGCTCTTTTGATATGGGTTTCTTGAATGCAAATTACATCAGATATCTCTTTCTGCAACTGTAGAAAGATCTTTTTCTGTTTTTGAGGTGAGTTCAGGCCATTTATGTTGACTGAAAACTTCTTCATTTGTTTTCTAGTCATCTTATTGTTGATTACTGCCTTTCTGTTTTCTCTTCGTCATGCCTCTGATACATCTAGGCTCATTTACTTGCTGCTGTCCTAGCTCTGTGTCTGATTCTGCTTGTGGTGGGTGATCTGATTTCTCTTGAGGTCTTGTTTCTGGTTTCCCCTCCTTTCTTTCTCCCTGTATTTTCAGAGTTTTCTCATTTTCCCCCATAAAATCTTGCGCTTTCATCGGCAATGTTATATTATATCTCTGTGAGTCAGTTCGAAAAAATAGACTTTATGATTGTCAGCCATCTATATGAAATTCCATTTTGTTGAAGTAGTGATGCAAGAGAGGAGTATTGCTTCCTTCTTTGCCTCATTTGCCAGGGAATTTGTTTTGAGACATTTATTTTCTTGTCTTCTATTATCAATTATTTATCTTTAGAGGCTCTTAAAACCTTGTCTCTAATTGATTTCTTCGTAAATCTCACATCAATTTCTTTGGGTAGCTTATTCCTTCTGGTGTATGCTGTGTTCACCCTGAAAGTTGCTTCCAAAAATGATGAAAGTCAGCTGCTTCCATCCCTATTTCTGCAGCCAAGGCTTTACTCATTAGTATCTCTAGGTCCTTCCCTTCCTTTTCTGGCACATTTTGAGCATCTTCAATGCTCTCTCCATCTCTAACATTATTAATCTGTCGTCATTTTGTTTTTGATTCTTCTGTACTGTCTCTAATGTTTCTTCAGTTTGGTTCACTCTAGCATCTGTACCTCTTACTTTTTCCTCGTTTTTGTTTTCCCTTCAGTTATGTGTTGTTTGGCTTCTGAGATCTCCGTTTTCATTTCTTTCATCTGATCCGCTCTTTGGCTGAGACGTTCATTTACTTGTTGAAATCCTGATGTTAGTAAATTTTGCATGGTACTCTGGCATTCTTTGTCTGGTTCTTGTGCCACTAGTTTTCCCAGACTTAGAGACTGGGCAGGAGAGGTTCCAGGCGTTTGGGGCTTTGGTTTTTTGGAGGCCATTTCAGTCTTTTCAGTAACAATATCTCAATATTCTTTCTACTATCTCTGAATAGAGGTTGTGTAAATTTTACGATATCCTTTACCAAAATAACCAAGCGTTAAATACACCACTTGCTCTTTCAGAAATTTCCCCTATTTAACCCACAAACAAAACCCACAACCAACAACCTCTCCTAAGATCTTCCTCCAATCTTTACCCAAGTATTATAGTATATATAATCAGCTTTTAGCCCAGCGGTTTAAAGTACAACCATGGCAAAAAGGTTCCTTCGTCTCTAACATCCTAGCAATTATATTACGTGTTCTCATTCCTTTATTGAGTATTTTTGTCTGCAAACCTGTAATGAAGAGTGGACAACCTCCAGAAGTCCTGGGTGTCGTAAAAGCGAGCTTCCTAAGAAACTGCTTTTACACGTAACAGAGAGGGGTCCAGGATGAACAGTTCCTACTCAGGTAAAACCGGGTCCTTTAATTTTACCCTAGGCAACTTTTCCACCCTTTCTCCCAAGTCTGCTACGATTTTTAAATAAAAAAACTTCTAGTCATTCTAGAAGATTTACTCCTCTTTATCTTATATGTGGGACCCTAAATTGGTAGCATGCGCGTGGCCTGATTAAATAAATCAATTTTGAATTAGCCAATTAACTAGAGTAGCTTGATGGTCTATTCAAGAAGCCAACGTACAAACAGCCTTTTTATATTTTATTAAAAAGATAGAGATTAATTTGAAACACATTTAGATAAGCCAATCTTTACACAAATAATCATTTCCAAATTACCCCAGCCGATACCAACAAACATTTCCTCTATAAAACGAAAATAACAACCAATCTAACTACATTTCTAAATAGGATTTTATCTTACGGTTAATTAGAAAAATAAGAGTCCTTCAGTAGCTTTTCCTCTGCTGAAATTCATGCTGCGTTCCGTCAGTCGTCCGGGCTGTGTCTCCGTCCATCTCCTCCTCCTTCTCTCTTCTCTCATCTTTCTTAAATTAACAAGTTATGTCCTTGTCCGTCGGAGTTGAGATAAGATAAGGGTCAGCTTGCTCTTCTTGATTTTTTTTCTTTAGCTGGAGAAGAATTGACCTTGTACATTTTTTCTCTCTAATTAGCACCTGGACACAAGCAGATTTCTAGCTTTTTTGTTGCTGCTCTTAAATAAATCCTATGATATACATCTCTATTCTATTTTCATAATCAAATTCATGACACTGGGGAGTACATCTCCACTGACCTCTGCAGGACTTGCTTCAGAATTGGGTTTATGTAAGGCTGGAGTGCATGTGTGATGAACATATGAAATAATCTCGTTTCTTTGATTTATTTTTATTTAGATTTCATGTAGTGGCCTCCAAAGGAAACCTTGACTGTTTGAATGCCATTCTCATACATGGAGTTGACATTGTGGCTACTGATGCAGCAGGTATAATTCTTTATTTAAAATATAAGGAATGTATTTGTGACAAAAACTTTCCTGAAGAGCTCATGGATGATGTGGGGTAAATTGTTTTATAACTTTTTGAAAAAGAACAAGTGAATGTAAAAGATTCTGGCACTAAACAGCTTCCTGAAAACTGAGTGTTGTGTACTGGCCTCACAAACCTTTCAAATTCCCAGTAGCTTATTTGTCACATACATTTTGGAATTGCGATGTTTTCGTTTCCAGTAGCAAAGTGAAAATTGTGCAGGAAGAAGAGGTATTGAAATGACTTAGACTATGGTTGGACAATGTCTGTGGAACCACATGCAGCCTCCATCCATTTTTGCATCCCACCAACAAATCTGCAACTATATCAATACATTTGGGTGGCATTGGCAATTTCCCAAGCAATTTCCTTTGAAAACAGGGCATATAGAATGTGTGTGCACCTTCTATTAAAACACATTCAATCTCCCAAAAGCACAATTCTGCTGAAAATAAGGTATGCGTTCTCTGTATTCGCTAAAGTATGCATTCTCTGTGTGTCGTATTTTCAATGGACATTGCAGCTTTTTCTCCCCCTTACCAAACTTCAGTAGCATAGCAGCACAAGGAACAGTCTGTAGTACCTGGTAATTTGGAGTCCATCTCCTAGCCCACTTTAAAGCAAGTGACAATTCAAGACAGATTAGTTTAAAATAATCAGTTCTTTATCATGGTCTTTGTGTATCACACAAGTGTTGTACTTGCATAGCATATATTAGGATCTTCTAGAGCAGGAGTCAGGGAACTTTTTTACCCCCCCCCAAAAAAATTATATATGCCAACATTACCCCCCTTGACTTGAAAGGAAGGAAATCATACATTATTTGAATTCAAAATATTATTGAATCTACACAGGCTGTGTACGGAACTAGCAAGATGCACCCAATTTAATAAAGATGTTCATTATTTTTGCTGGAACACATTGCCCTCCAGCCATGGGGTGGTATAGGAAGTAGTAAGGTGTCCAATGTGCCTAGCAAGTTGCATTAAATTTTTGCTAGCTTACAAAGGATTTAATTATCAATGGCTGCCAGAGTGGTGCTAGCAATGATGTGCTCACTAGAGACAGCCACCACAGAGTTGGGGAGAGGGCTTTTCCTACCACTTTAATAATTCTGTGTGTGGTGTGCAAAAAGGAACAAACCAGGCTAAAGGTCATGTCACCCACCCTTGTGCCACAGCCCAATATCAAAGGATCAGTGACATGGAGGCAGTGACAGATTTTACTTTCTTGGGCTCCATGATCACTGCAGATGGGGACAGCAGCCACGAAATTAAAAGACACCTGCTTCTTGGGAGGAAAGCAATGACAAACTTATTATGACTTGTCAGAAAGATAAGTAAGGCAAATTAAGTGTGAGCTTTCACTAGAAGCTAAAATAACCAAACAAAGGGTACTTGCCATTGGCATCATAAGAAGACAAGCTTACTGGAAAAGGCAGCAATGCAGGAAAAAGTGCAATGCAGTAGGAAAAGAGGAAGTCTGCACATGAGATGGATTGACTCAATAAAGAAATCCAGTCTTTTGGTGCTGCAGTCAAAGTAGGACCAGGAGCAGAAAGACTGGGATTCAAATTTTGGGAATAAACTATGATACTCTTGTCTGATTTGGGGATGAGAAATAGATAAACATGATTGCTACACACTTCAGATTTCTGCTGTTCTCAGCAGAAGCAGCAGAGCTAAATGCAGTGGAGATAAAATTTTAGAAGGTTCCTTTTTCATGGTTTTATGAAAGAGTCAAGTCACACGCTCTCTCTCTCTTATACACACACACACACACAAAGCCTTTCTAACTCAATTTTCAATAGTTAGTTGCTTCAGTTCAGTATCTCAATTTCCTCTCATTACATTTAAACAAGCTTGATGAAGCCACCCTTTCCCCCTTAATTCAAGCCTTCTGTCCTGTTTGCCTGTTCCTTTTTTCATAGTTTTGAGTCAGTCAGTCAGTCTCTCTCTCTCTCTCTCTCTCACACACACACACACACACACACACACACCCCCCTCCCTCCTTCCATTTTCTGCATATATTTAAACAAGCTGATGAAGCCACTCGTCACTTTCTGGCACCTTCCTTCGCTCCTTAGCTGGAGCTTTCCCTCCTCTTGCTTGCAGTCACCTCTGGCGGAAATAGTCATTCACAAGCTGGATTGACTGCACGGGGCTGTTCTACAGATGTAACCAATCAAGCAGCCTTGTCTCCCATCTCTAAAAGAACGGAGGACTTACAAGTGCCGCCACCAAGGAAGGAAGGAGAGGTGGCTTCCAGTTTGAGGTTCGGCTCCAGGGGGTGGGAGTGGGGGGGTAGCACTCTGGTCATTACCCCCAGGATTTTCATTTTTATCCCATTTGGGGTAATTTACCTCTGTTTCCTGACCACTGTTCTAGAGCTAATGTGAAAGCATTTTGGTAGCAGCCTAGCCCACCTGACCCTGTGTATAAAATACACAGGCTCCTGACTTCTTCCTCTTCTTTTGCATTTGCCACGTGCTCAGTAACACCTTGGAACAATTGTTTCTGGACTTGACCTACTTTTCTTCCAACCATTCCTTTGGTTCTCCTTGAACTCTCAACAACTTGGCCCTTGTATGGTCTCTTTTGCTTCAATTTAGTATCCCTATTCAAATACAAACAACACTAACTGTGTCTTCTAGAACCTTCTTTAAGAAGTGCACTTAGCGTGGCAGGAAGATCCCTCAGACAGCCACTTCCAAGTGTCTGTTCTGTCTAGAAGAAAGCCATATCAATAGTTATACTTCCAGGCTTCCTCTTGAGAGTGTTCTTCAGGTATTAGAGCAGGCCACTTGGCATCAAGCCCCACAGCCACCAGAGGCTGCATCTGTTCTAGACTGCCTCCTTTGGCTGATCAGCTGTTTGCCCCTTTGCTGAATTCACCTTCCACATCAGCTGCCTTGGTACAGTTGTCTACCCTGGAACTGTTCTGCTCCACTTGGAGGGCTTCTCATCATAAACAAGCCTGCTCACATTCTCCCTCCCCTAAGAAGGAGAAATGCAAGAGGAAAAAGAGACATTTTCCACATCAACCTCCTCTCTTGGCGCCTCATACTTGGATTGACTGTGTCTGCTGTCAGCACCCATGTGCCCCACCAAGGTCTCAGAGCCTCCCTGCATTTAACTTTGGATTATGACATCCCCTGCTCCTTTTACATCTGCTACAGAGTGACTTCAGCCAGAGTTTCCCAATACAGTGGGCCCTCGACTTACGAACGGCCCTAGTTGCGAACGTTTTGGGTTACGAACCCGATCTCATCGCAAGTAGCAGACCCTACTTGTGAACGCAGATTGAGTTACGAACCCAAAAGGCTTCCTCCGACATCAGAGGAAGCCCTTTGAAGCCTCCGAAGCCAAAAAGGCAGGGAGAAAGGGTGGGAAGTTCGAATTTCTTGCCCTTCCTCCCTGCCTGTGGAGCTTTCAAAAGGCTTCCTCTGACATCAGAGGAAGCCCTTTGAAACCTCCAAAGCCAAAAAGGAGGCAGCCCCAGCAGCATTGGGTGAAAGGAGGGAGCCGATTTCTCCCCGGCCACCCGGCTTGCTTTTCCAAACGAGAAGCAAGCCGGGTGGGCATGGACAAATTGGTTCCCTCCTTTCACCCGATGCTGAGTTCCCTTTGCACCGGCTGAGCTCAGCCCCTGGCCCGGTACAGAGGGGACTCAGCAGCCCCAGCAGCATTGGGTGAAAGGAGGGAGCCGATTTCTCCCCGGCAGCCCGGCTTGCTTCTCCAA